GAAACAACGACGACATACGTCAAACATTCGAGAAGACAAAGGTTTAATCAGAGAGAAGAATGAGAGTGGTCATGAGTCATGCCCGCGTTTTAAGTGGTCCCCGTCCACAAGCGCCTCTATGTGCACAAAACGTGCACATTGAACTACGTAGCCATGTCCACGAAAATTTCTGATGGGTAACGCGTTATGTGCACGCTCTATTGGTTCTGATCCGTGCTACGTGCACGATCTTTTGGTTCTGTTCCGTGCTATGTCCAAAGCGTCGGTAATGCATGATCCCGAGCCGCATGACCACTCTCATTCTTCTCTCTGATTGTAGTATGTGTCTCTGGGCGTATATGTGTATATGAATAATATATTTGCATTTTGCACTTTGCACTTTTTAGATACTTAGTTTACTTGGTTAAATTTATGTCGTGTAATATAAATACAGTAACGCACGTTCAGCTTTATACTTTATTTCTGTCTGTCAAACACTTGGGATGGCAATAAATATTGTGAAGAATAGATTATCGGGATCAATTGGGAAATGTAAGCTGCATAGATGCCTAATTCTTTGTTTTCAAATCTGTTTAGCGTACTGTTTAAAAACTTGCATATTTTTGTGCATCTTCAGTCATTTATATGATCAGATGTGTTCCTCTTCCACGTCAAATTTTTTTAATTAAACAGTTTTAATCAGTTGAGAATCTTGGTTATAGAGAGATCTAGTTGTTATGCGATAATTATAATGTATTTTTTTTTAAAACATCTTTAATTGCAGATTTACAAGCTGCCACCGCGCTGAGATACTCCACAGAAATGTCGACGTACAAAACACTAGCAGTATCTACTCCAAAACCGTTTGTTTACATGGTCAAGTTGAATAGGCCGGAGAAACTGAATGCAATGAATTCGACTATGTGGAAGTAGGTAATCTCTTGTCGTCTCCCTGTTGTTTCATGACTAAGCGCTTATGCTCTCATGGATAATTTTCTTTTAGAGAATTTAAGGAGTGTTTCAAGGAATTATCAACGAATCCAGATTGCAGAGTAGTTATTCTGTCAGGTGCTGGCAAGGTGTTTTGCGCGGGTAAATTGTGATATAAATATAAGGATTATTATATGTATGTATTCATCTGAGTGCCGAAAGAATTTCACTTTGTAATCCGACAATTTGACGTTGCAGGAATTGATCTGCAGGGGATGATGGAAATAGGTCAAAGCTTAGCGGAACACGAGGACATTGCGCGCAGATGCAAACTTCTAGAGCCTAAAATTAAGGATTATCAAGATTCATTTACTGCTATAGAAGAGGTATCTCAAAGTTATTCACAAAGATATAATTAATAAAAATATATTATGATTTACATTTTTTATAGATCTAGTTTTCACTGATGAACTGTTTTATTATGCTTCTTTTTAATTTATATGATCAAAATAATGGACGCAATATTATTTTGACAGTGCTCAAAACCTGTGATAGCTGCTGTGCACGGTGCATGCATTGGCGCAGGTGTGGACATGATATCCGCGGCTGATATACGCTACGCTTCTTCCAATGCATATTTTCAAATAAAGGAAGTTGATATAGGTATGGCGGCTGATGTAGGTACGCTTCAGAGATTTCCAAAAATTGTGGGATCTGACAGCTTGGTAAGAGAGCTTGTTTATACGGCGCGAAAGTATCCAGCTACTGAAGCGCTGGAAAGTGGATTTATAAACCGCATGTTGGATAATGAGGAGAGGTGAGATACATTGAAACGAGAAATATAAGCTTGTAATGATTATTCGAACAGAATGATATGAATTAATATGACATTTATATTTTCTACTTAGCTTATTGAATAAATCAATAGAAGTTGCTGAAGATATCGCAAGTAAGAGTCCAGTTGCAGTGCAAGGTTCAAAAATGAATCTGGTATATTCCAGAGACCATTCTGTTCAAGAAGGATTGGATCATATTGTGAGTGCTTTTTTTCTGCTTATTCCACCTGGAAATTACATAATAAAAATTTGTTATTTGCTATAAATATATGTATGAAATAATTTCTCATACTTAGAGGGTTGTTTTGATAATACATTTTTGGGATTTATTTCAATAGGCAATGCAAAATAAGGCAATGCTCCAAAGTGAAGATTTTTTGAATGCAGCTATGGCTCAAGCTGTTAAAGGTGATCCTCCAATATTCTCCAAGTTGTAAATTATTTTCATTCTTAGTTTTAATATTTCTAATATTCTTGATATTCCCAATATCACATAGATATTATATCAATGTTATATTAATGTTAGATATAAATGGGTACATGTATTTTTTTGGAAATATATTTATAAACAAAATATAAAATAAATTTATATAACTTTTCTAATCACAGATTTGAATATTTCTTATATTGATATCATATCCTTTTCATATAAATTATTGCCACTAAAGTAATATATTTTGTGTCAGGTAATATCTTCCTTAAACAAAATGCTTTCCCATCTGCGCCTTTTAGGCAATTCTGCCAATTTTGCAGTTTCCATTTCATCAATAATATTATATACATTAATATTTTCGGGAATTTTTACCTGTAATTTTTATATCTTGAATGATGATTTCAAACAATATATTTAATAACGCGACGATTATTTAAGATAAAATGTATATTCCTGTTAAAAAAATTTTTTTTGTAATATTGAAAATAAATTTATATTTTTACGCACAATTAGCAAATTGATGTAATGCTCATAATTAATTTTTCCAGTTTCGGCATCGCAGGCTACGGCCATCATATCGGCCACTTCTTCCTTTGTAAATGGTTCCCCAATTTCCATAATTGATTTCTCTAAATCATCTTTCATGATATATCCGCGATTTTCAGGATCTAATAATTGGAACGCTTTCAATAACTCTTCTGGTTCTGCTGGTTTAAACCTAAATACCGAGCAAGTTTATAGTTACTATGTTATATTATCCATTTTCTGATGCACCGACTACTTATTTCGATAACGAAAAAGGTTTTACTTAAACATACTTGCGTTCGTTAATCGCTTTGCTCATATATTCCACAAATCTGTTCAGTGGCACGCAATTATTTTCGACATCTTCTACTTCTACTTGTATTTCTTGTAACTCAGCTTCCGTGATGACACATCCTGTTAAATAATGTAAAAGAATTTGAATTGTGTGTTCTGCAAAAAAAACTTATTAGAATTTTTATAACGTGAACATTACCTAATGCTCTAATTATAGTTCCCAAATCTCTAACATCTACCTCTCCACTCCTTGCATTATCAAACACATCAAACGCTTCGCAAAGTCTTCTTTCTAACAATGATGGTTCAATAGGCACTGAGTAATAACATTAAAATTGTTAAATATTGATTGTTAAATAGACATAAATTAATACTAAGATACTTACTGATACTTCACAAAATCTAACTTAGAAACTTTTTTAAAGAAATATGAGAAAAAGAGAAGAACGATTTTCAAGGAACTTGACAATACAACTAGCTTTCAAGAATTGTTTGATCAATAATAAGTAATATGAAACTGTGTAATCTCAGGGAAGTTTTAGTCTATAATAGAGCTTTCTCATGTAACTATCTTTATATGAATCGTTCATTTATTTAAAAAATTGGTAAATTTTATTTTATATCTGTACATATTAATTACAAGATCTTTGAGTAGTACGTACATTTTTGAGTCTCTCTTCGTAAAGTTAACCGTCTTTCGACGATACTCTTTCTGGCCAATGATGAAGGCGACATAAATGATTGATGCATTTTTGAAAAGATATGTCGTCACAGTGACGCAATATATTTCTATTACTTAATTTAATTGTGCATAAATAAATTCATCAGCCTATGTGGCAAAAAATTATCATAAAGCACTATCATTTTTTATGTAATAAAATACAATAAATTATATGTCCGTTTAGTATTGTTTGATATTAAAGTGCAACAAATTTAGGTTCAATCAATAATATAACATGATTTATGAGTTAAACAATTGCAAGATAATTGTGCAATGCTGTGATCATTTCAGGATGTACATACTATTCATACATGTAACATTTAATAATGCTACAGGCAGAGTTTTATATCTTATGCTATTTTCAATATAAAAATAATAAATTGGCTATATAAATATAAAAATATAATACAATTGCAATTAAAAATGGGCCGTTTGCCGATCAATCTCAATAATATCTTCAATAATCTCTTGAACGCGCGTTCCAATTTTCTTTGCCAAATCTGCTTTCTCATTGTTTGGTAAGAAGAGGTAACGCCAAACCAAATCGCCATCAATGATGCCCCTTGCCGGATTCCCTTGATTTCGTACGTAACTTTTATACGTGCTAAATAAAAGAAAATATTTCTATGTTAATAATATTCTCAAAAATTCAAATAATTAAAGTAGCAAGTAAAGGAATTAACAAATGTATAATATCTATATAAATTTTAATTGAAACTTGCCGATAAGCTTTTGGATTCAAGCCTGCAATGTGACAGATATGTGTAACCAGCACGTTTTGTAACATAAGTAATCTCCGATATGTTTTTTCTGGTACTGGTAGAATATAACCAAGGCTGCCGTCCAACGATGCTAAAATGTAAGAAGAGATATATTCGCATGCAAAAAAATACTTGAATATTTCAAAAATATTCCATTAAAGGGTTATTGCTATTTCTAAAATACACGTTTCGACTTACCGTACATAGTAACATGTCTTTTATCAGCACCAGAAAACTGTTTCTTGTCATTTGCAGGATCGGTGACTCTACATCTAATACGAAAGAAAGTGTTTACTTTTTGTCCTAGATGAAAATCCGCCTTTCTAATTAGCTTTTGACCTCCCAGACTTTCTCTGGACTCCGGTTGATACATAAATAAAGCTAAATTGCTCTCCCCATCAGCCACAACAAAACCTAAATTTGTATTATCAATTAAATACTCTATTGTGTATACTTCCGCAGGTCTAAAATCCTGTAACAAAATAAATTATATATTTTGAATGCATTCATAAATATGTAATTTATGTACATACAAAATAAATCATACTCACTCTGCTGACAAGAGAGAGTGTCCTATATTCTTCCTGAAATCTCAGCAAACTAATGGATTTGTAAACGTCGGCTATCAGAATAAGACTTTTAATACTTAGCATTTGATGGATGTAGATTTGGGTATCAATAAAAGCGACTCCGACAAGATCGTTATCTTTTAATTGCCAAATATATATCTGCAACAAAACAATGTTTAATGCCATTTACAATGGACGCAATTCTCGTAGAAGTGAATCAAGAGGGAATACCTTTTGTCCAACAGCTGAGACTAAGAATCCTGATACTTGTGTTATAGCAGTTATAGGTCCCTTTTGTTCCTTCGCATAAATCTGTTTAAATCTATTTTTAGTTAATGGCTGGCCAGGCTCAGGTACTACTTCAATTATGTCGAATATAAGTATCTGAAAATTTTAAAAATAAAATCATTAACTGATAAAACTTGAACATATTTTCTATATAAATATAGAACTCACTCGTCCTCTGCTTGTGATATCTTCGCCGTAATTATAATTTGTTCCTAATACTATGTAACCTTTCAAACCAGATCTTGTTCCTTCATAAGCCAGAGATACATTCTTTAAACAAGTGACATGTTCCCATTGGTCCAGCTCGATTTTTGTATTGGGAATAGTTTCCCATGAAACCGGAGAAAATAGCACAATGGAAAATTGTTCTTGGGTTGGATAAAGAAATCTTTCTGGACGTTCCTCTTCCGTAAATTCCTAATTGATAAAAAATGCATTTGTCAATATTAATTTTTAGTGTCTCTAAATTTGGTACTCTAAATATTTGATACATAGATATTGATAAATATTCTGAAAAATTGAAAAAAATAAAATTTATTTGTCAATACCTTGTCTTCGCCGTTAAATCTGTAGTAACTTTTCAGAGGTTCAGCTGTGCTTGTTATAACGCAGTAGGTCTTGCTTTCGAGATGGTACGTAACAAAATGCGGGGTACATCTTAAGGGAACTTTTCTAACTGGCCACGGAGCGTCGTACGATAAATGAGTTGGTAAAACGCATATCCGTAGCTCTTCCTGGAAAATGAGATCTGTGCCATCTTATCTTACTTATTATGAAATATATATTGAAAACAACGTTATACCTTTCTATTAAAGTACAGGAAACCTTGAGGACAATTAATATTATTAAAAGCAGCGAAAGATGTGACGGAGCCATCAATGCCCATTGGATGCGTGCGTAATTCACCACGTCCAGTTAAAAATATCCAATGTGGATAATCGCTGCAGATAAATACTCCATTATACCCGGCGATATTGCTAAAGTAACGCATCACGCAAATGCGAGAGTCGCTCGTGTTCCTTGGGATATCTTCCTCCTTGGGTCTTGGACTGTGGAGAAAATTCAGTTAAAAATTGTTTTACTTAAATAACTTAAATAAAAGAGCTTTTTTAAATACAAGCTCCATTTTAATAGAAATAAATAGTAGTACAGTAATAGTTATTTTTTAAATATGTTATATATAATGTAGTAATTATTATTATATTAAAATTACTATTCTATATCATATTAGAAATTACAGTAGCATATATGTTAAAATTACTCGAACCTTAAACGTCCCGGAATTATTCCATGGTCCAATTTCTTAAACCTCAGTTTTAGATATCCCTTTGGATACCTGTAAGCTTGATATATTTGCAATTCTGAGTCGAGACGTACTAAGAGCATCGGTCGACTTCCATGATGTCCTAGAGCAACCATCAGAATTTCACGGACCTATAAAAATATATATTTGTTAAGAGCATAAGATTTTTAAGATTTCCACATACCAAGAGACACATTTGTAGATAAATTACCTGCATATCAGGGTGGGGAATTTCATTGAGTGGCGTTGACTGCAAAGTTGTGGATTCCATACTGTCGTGCAATACATACTGGCCGAAGCCAAAGTTGCGAATAAGATAAGATAATCGTAAATCAGGTAAGGAATAGATTTCCAGCGTCCCACTGTCTCTATATACAAGTAGCCAGTACGTGGACTTAATTTCTTGCAAATGCCTTTGCCACCTATTACAAAAATTCGTATCACGAAAATGTATATTGATACGCTATCCTTTTTATATCAGAGATATAGAATGTACTTAAAAAATATTTGGCCGAATATTTCGTCTCTTCTAAAATTCTAATTTAATAATAATAATAATAATAATAATAAACGTTTAAAATATAATAAGTTCAGCCAAATACTTTAGAAACACGCTGTGTAACGAATAGCTAAATAATTTTACCAAGGTAGTTTTTTAGCAGTTCCATCTGATGCTTTTGGATATGATGGTGCAGGCATTTGGAATGCTGGGGCATCGCCGTACAATAGATCGTCTTCATTATCGATATTGCTAAGTACGGAAGGTTCCTCTACATTGTATTCTTCTTCAGTCTGCTCATCGTCTGCATTCTCAAGTAATTGCGTCGTAAAAATCCCGCTTACGTCTCTATAAGCGCATAATGCCTCTATCTGCGGCCGCTAAAGATATACACATACAAGTAGTATAGATTTCAAGAATAGTTCGTGTATTATTTATGTAACATTAATTATTATCAACTTACAAACAGTAGATTGGCAGTTTGAGCATGCAATCTTGCTGTGCCTCTTACTTCTCTAAGTGTCAATAACATCACTTGTCCGTCTTCCGAGAGTAACGCTACGTATGGATCGGCACAACTTGCATGCACAATTGGACAACCAAGATCTATAGGCATATGTTGAATCTGTAATTAATAATAAATATATAAAAGTTAGTATTGTGTATAAAAATGCAAATGTATTTATTTAATGGTAAAATTGACGAAGAAATAAACGCATAAATCAAAGAAATAACATGAAAATATCATTTACTTTGCTTCTACGTGTGTAAAATTTGTATTCAATGAAATATTTAAATTCACAATAAATCATATCTGAGGATTGTCAATTAATAAAGATATTGAGTATTCTATTTCCAGTTTATAACAAAGATTTTATACGAGATTAGTTTTTTCATAAAAAAAATGATAAACAAAAGCAAAAACCGCTCAAATAAAATCAACCTAATGAATATTTAAGGGTTAATGTGCATACTTGTTCAATGCCTTGCAAAAGACGCACTCCCATTTGAGTAACTTGTACAATGTATCGGTTAGCACCAAGATTACCGGCGAATACTGTACTCCCCTGTGTACTGAATCCACTCTGATCTACCTCATTAATCTCTTGACCGGTTTGCAGAATCTGTGAATGAATTATATTACAAATTAAGTATTAATTATCATCTAAGACATAAAGCAACACTTAAATGATATATTAAAAATATTATTATACCATAGTTGAATCTTCTTGACTCAATATCAAGAAAGCGTGAGATCCTTCTGCTTCCGTCTTGATTTCATCGTTATTTAATGTGCCAATGACAGTCCACATGTCTTCACAGCCAGGAAGCTCAAATGTTGTCACAACCTATTTTTATTAAAGAGATTTATTAGAACACAATTATACTTTCAGTAAATGTGGCGTCTTATAATTTGCAAGATTAATTTTAGTAATAGATAATCATCAACTTTCTCTGGTTAATCTAGAATTAATTATTCTTTCCTAAAAATGTACACAATTCTACAAATTCTATAATCAAATGTTTTTCTCTCGATTAAAGCAAGCATTAGCTTTGTCTAAATTAAATATTATATCAAGAAACTTGAAAGAGAAAATGTATAATAAATAATATAAATTTAATTTTACCGTAGCAATCAATATATTAAAATTTAGAATATAAATTGTCTACACATATAATATGTAAGTATGCTTTAATATTACCTGAGGACGTATAGAACGTTGCAATACGCAAAGTGCACCATTCTTTCCATATCCGGATGTCGTCACAAGTTCTACATCAGGATCTTGATTCTGTAGAAATTCTTCCGATAGGAAGGCTGGTTCTCCCATTGAAATATTTCCACATGGTCCAATGTTCAATAAACTGTCACATACCTACGAATAAAAAATTGATTGCGATTGATACAGAAGAAATAAAAAATTGAAATTAATATACAACAGAGAATATATCGTGTATAATAAATAAGAAAAGTTGCTGGTACCTCAAAAATATATGAAGTGATCTGAATAGATGTATGAGTTTCGCTACCATACACTTCTAACTCTTCTGGATCTTTGATATCCAATACATCCGACGCCATCCAGTCGCCAAGAAAGTCTTGCTTCGCCTTCTTAGCTGGAGTTTCTTCACTTTCATTTTCTTCAATGGTAATCTCACCACCATTCAGATTTTTCAAAGTTTCCGGTTCCTTCTCCGTGAATCGCAATAGTAACGAATTACCAAGTCGAGACCCGAGGAAAAGATAATTATCCTCGCACATACATACCTAAAATATAACAAATATATAACGTAACTATACATGCTATCGAAAAGATAGATATTTGCATACATATATAGCGATTAAAAATCAAGTACGAATGCTTACACATGATGTTAACACACTAGCAGCAGCCTTGTCAAAGTGAAATCCACGCACAGATCGCATACTGTCGGCAAAGAGAGACAAAACATAGAGTTCTCCACTTTTCAAAGAAATAACTAAACGATCCGCAGATATAAATGCTACCTGCGCTCCTTCCAAACTCATCTTTACTCCTTCCTGCGGCTCTGCAAAAATAAACCAAAGTAACGAATACATATTTAATAATTAATACATGGACATCATAAATTGTACATAATACTACTAGAAATTCTGCTTACTTAATGGAAAATTTGTACTTGTGTCTGCTAAACTATTAAGTGATACTCCATAAGGTGGTATGCTTTGATTTAAATAAATAAGCGAGTTGACTGCCATTATCAAGGTGCCACCCAGCGGTTTCTTCACAGGTACAGCTTGGTAACAGTCAAACGGCAAATTGGAGACTGACCAAATGATAGGATGAACCCTTTGCTGAATATTCAAAGATATGGCAACCATTGCGCAAGTGTCCTGTCTCACCGCGATACGCCTGTATACACAGATCACAATAATTCATGATTGATGGATATTAATCTCTTATTTACTTGGTTAATATAAAACTGATCTTTACCCTGAGAATGTTCTTACTGGTTCGTATAAAATTAATAGTGTAGGTTCATAATATCCATGCAAAAACTGTAAGTCTATCACATTATCCATCTTCTCCTCCAGTGTTTTCAATACTATCATGTATGAGGACAATATTGGAGTCTTATTGGAAGACGATAATTTCGCAGTGTCAAGTAAGTCACCGTCATCAAGACTGGGGTCCTTACGAAAAGGTAGCACAACCAGTTTTCTACCGAATATCAACATTACTGCGCATCTTCCTTCAGGATCCACTCTTACTATCGGTATATGATGATGATTCGTCCATCCATCCTAGTCAAATAAAATGCAAGCTAGAGATATTTGTATATCGCTAAGAATTAAATTTGGGTTGGATAGATCAGCGTTAGAGCAATCGCTTGCCAAGCAAGAGATCCAAGTTCAATTCCTAGAATTGTCATCCCACATATAACATTAGAAATTTTGAATCAAAGAATATTTATAAAAACAAAGTATTTAAAACATAAAATCTCTGTGTGACTGGAAATAAACAGATTGCAGTACTGTGTCATTCCTTGAAAAATAAAATATCACAAGACATTAATAGCTTCAAAAATAAAGTTTAGTTTTCCAGCATGAAATAAGCTTAGCCCGTTTCTATAAAAATAGCAACCTTTATCTCTTCCTCCTCAAAGTAATGCAACGACACCGTTCTCAGGTCGTGAATGTCCTGATCGTACTCGACAACGGACAGTTTTGCGTCGCGGAAGCTGAGCAGCAGAGAATCCCTTTGCGATCCGATGAGATGAACGGCCTGCATGGACATGATGTTCCCGTGCAAAGTATACTGCGCCAAGCACTCCAGTTTCATTTTAGGGGGGCGCATTTCTGCAAGAAAAAAAATATACAAATATGTATTCTGCCACTTTGGAATAAGGTGTTAAAAAATTGAAATTGAAAGGTACCTGTGTATTTTTCCCTTCTTGTCATGTCGACGTCGGGAATTAGGCGAAACACCCGTATAACATCCGCGCCGGCAACAACGAGACATTTCTCAGTACGGTTGAAGAAGTGACATGTGATCGCGTGCTCGACTCCCGTTGCGGGATGAGTACTTTTGCATATGGAATACATGACCGGGGGTCACAGATCGTCGCAAATTGTCGCGGATATATCCGCGGAAAGATGTTTTACTTCGAACAGATTGAACTCCGGAAGGCTGGAGCGTAGCGTGCACAAATCACGGTCGACGCGGTCTCAGGAGGTTAGGTCACACTTTCAGGGCTGCCAGAATGTGTGCCGCAGAAACCGCCGCTAGAGCGAGCTGAGCTAGCCCAAAATCCGCACATTCCCTAGCAATGTAGCCCAATATCGCTTTTTTTTCGTATCTCATATAATATGATATAATATAATATCATATAATATGATAATAAACCATGCTGTCGCATCGAAGACTGTGTTTTTCTGTCTAGGACTTGCTCTTTCTCGCAATGTTTATTAGATTTCTTATGGGCGATAAGATCACTATGCTTTGCACGCAAATGACATTTGCATAGTTTACAGTACGCTTCCTGCTTGCCATTCAACACATCAATCTCATTGCTTTCTTCAAGCCAATCTATGGACACAGTAAAAATGAAAAGACGTCGAATTAGACCTCTCTTCGACGCATTCGACGTCTAATTCAACATCTATTCTATCAACTATTATTTCTCACTGGGCATATATAAACTTAAATCTCAAAGAATATAATAGAAGCATTAAACAAAAAAAAATAAAGTTAAAACAGTACAGATTTGATACTTACTCTTCAGTTCTGGTTCTATTAACCATTTCTTTTGGAAACGTTTCTTATATTTACCCCATTTACCCATCTTTACTATTGTAATATACAATATATATATCACATTTATTAAATTGCACACGATATAGATACCATAAGACAAATTTAAAACTACCCGCTCATAAAAGCTATTAATAACGATCAGACAAGAAGAGGACTGTGTAAAGATGTCAAATCGTGGCCTTGGTTTTGTGCAGACACAACGACAAGGCACGTCAGTGTGGCGCTTGGCGCTCGTCAATTTGTCGAAGCGTCACACCGACGTGCCATTTCGTCGTGTTCGTGCAAAGCTGAGACCTGGCATCTCTGTCGTGCAATGTCCAAGTGCGTTCCTTGTCTGTGCGGCGCAAGCGTAGAATGCAGCCATAGATTTGTAAACCAGTGTTGCAAATCTCATAGTGCCAAACTATCGGTGTTTCCACAAATTCAAACCCAGATGAATTGAGTATTTTCGCTCAAGACACGGTGTACTGTAAGATATAATTGTAAGATTACATAAAAATTATATTTTACACCGTGGCTTAAAAAATAGCAAAATGCGGAAATCCTCGTTTGAAAAATTTATACCGCACAAGAGTCCTCTAGATAGCCCAATTTGCGTTAAATAGCCCAATCTGGCAGCCCTGCACACTTTAAACAATAAACTAGGGTTAGGTACCAAATATTCCTTTTCGGACCGTTCGAACGAGTTTCAGAACGCACCGATATCGTTTTAACTACACTCTCTGCACCAGGAACGAGATAGAAATTTAATATATCCATTTATTCGAATAAACTCCGATTAATTTATCGACGGTTAATTTGCCGATCAGTATCTATATTTTATTAACACACGGATAGAATTATCAATTTTTATTCTCTAAAACGTAAGAAAAAAGATTAACTTGGAGATAATAAATGTATTAGAAATTTTTGCTGTAAACAATATATTTTTCTATTTCTATCAATTAATGCAGATTAATCTCGATTTAACTTACTTTTTACCTTTTTCTTGTTCTAAAAATTTAAAAAAATTAGTTTAACTTTTTATCTTTTTCTAGTTCTATGAATAAAAAAAAAATAAAAAGTAATTAATTAAGTTAAATAATCCGATATTAAAAGCAATTTATAATTGATAGAAACAGACATTTGCCAATTGAATTAATCACCGATTAAATTAATCTGAGTTTATTAATCAAACTAATGCATTGAAAATTGAGGACTGCGTGTTAATTCGAATTCATCTGATTAGATTTGAGAACAAAATGGATATTAGAGATTTGAGGTAATTTGATTGGTCGAGTTTCTCAAAGTCCGACAATGGGCCTTCAATGCGGAACTGATACGGGCTTTAGGCGTCAGCGCGAGAGAAAGACACAAAAGCCGAATTTTAACGCGTAAACAAACCGACACATGTGACGGAAGAGTGAACTAGAGGTGAATGTGGATTGACGTGGGTGAGTGCAAGAGAGCTCGGGCTCGGATGCAATTCTTCTTCGAGCCGTTCGCTCCCTGTGCAGTCGCCGTCGATTCCTCTTTCGATCGCGTTTGACATGGACGTGAATATCGCGTCGCGACGTGCAGCGTGCAGCAATTGACACCTAATCAGATCGTCGACTCCGCGTTCTCCACTCCGTTTCCTGTCTCCTTGTCCCCTCATTGTCTTGGGCATTTAACCAATATGTCAGACGTGAAGAGCCTCGAACACCCCACGCTGAAGGTAAATTTTCTTCATTACACGGGATGCTTTCGAGATATTTTACCGTTTGGAAATTTTATCCTGACACCCCGCATAATTCGTACACACACACACACACACACATACATATTTGTCAAGTAAAGTAATCATCTTTTATGATGTTTAAAGAAGCATTTCTCTGAAAATAAATCTAGGAATAAAGGTAAACCGAATGTTTAAAAAGTGTTACATATTTTGAGAGCAGGTAGTATTCATTAAAATGAGAGGAAAATGTCCAGTAAATATAGGTCTTTAATCAAATACCTATTAAGATATGTGTGTGGGCCAGTCTTTATCGTATACTATACCTACTATAGAAAGTGCTCTGTGTAGTTCCCATTCATTATTATACGTCCTTCAGCCTTACATCTCACAATCAGAGAATTACTCACCCTTGCAAATATACCTGGCTGCTTTCAGATTTGCTGGCATGCATTAAATACAATGCAATGTATAAAGGCCTTGGTATATTCAACACCGATCAATGACATACGAACATTGCATTGAACCACATAGAGCACTTCATATAGTATATGATAAAGATTCGCCCACATCTTAATATGTATTCGATTTAGGTCCTACGTTTACTGGATATTTTCTTGTTTTGATGAATACTATCTGTTCTCAAAATATGTAACACTTTTCTTTAAACATCCTGAATAATACTTTTTGAAATACAAATCTTTGAAGAACAAATAATATCTAAACAAATAATCTCTAAAAGTAAAATTCTTAGAAGAGATAAATATTTTATGTATAAATATATGCAATAAATGTGTAAATGTATTACATAGTCTGTCAATTTTCTGTATTAAACGCATGCTTTATTTCATATTTATTCTAAATTCCTGTGATAGAAACTTTGATGATTATTTATACAGTGTTTAATAAATGTTTTAACAAGAATATATATCAAAATCTGCTTCATCTGTATTTAATTAATGCAATTAAAAAAAAAACAGGTTCCATATGAGCTTCTGAATAAGAAGTTCCGCTCCGCTCAGAAAACTCTCGACAGAGAAGTGTCCCATGTCCAGGCGGTGTCTAACGAACTTGAGAAAAGTCTGAAGACCGACGGATCTTATGTGGCAACAGGAGAAATCAGCAAGTTGCTCGGTGGCGTGGTCGCCAGGCTTCAAGTTCTAAAGCGTAAAGCCCAGGAATCCATAGCGGAGGAATTACAAGCCGGCATGGTGTGCAAAAGAAGATTAGATCACTTAAAGGATCATGCCAATACCTCTCCGAGTGCCGTGAATCAGTGGAGACGACAGAGATTAGACAGAATGCTAGTGGAATATTTTCTTCGCAAGGGATATTATAAAACGGCAACTAAACTGGCAGACAGCAGCGAGCTTAGAGATCTAACAAATATTGGTATGTTGCACTTCTCTTATCTTATCTGAAATAATGATCTATCAATATTGAAGTTATACTAGAAAATCACATCTTCACAAAAATATAATTTTTGTAATGGGAAAAAGTAGGATTATAGAAAAAATATTTAGACATGTAAATTTTTAAAAAAAATTCAAAAAACTAATAAAAGAGCCAACACACACACATGAGTTGAAAAAGTATCCCAAGAAAGAGAAATTTAAGAAAATATTTCTTTGAATTGTCAAGTTTCTTTATAAACTTTTTATGTTTACCAAGTATTTTGGAACATTTACAGATGTATTTATGGTATCGAGAGAAGTAGAGAAATCTTTAGCCAATCACGAAACTGCGAGATGCATCGGTTGGTGTCACGACAATCGTTCGAAATTAAGAAAACTAGGCAGTACTATGGAGTTCAATTTGCGCGTGCAAGAATTTATCGAATTAGTGCGAACCGACAGGCGGCTCGATGCGGTGAAGCATGCTCGCAAATACTTTGCTAACTATGACGATTATCAGCTGCAGGAGATTCAGTGCTGCATGGGTCAGTTGGCCTTCCCGGCCCACGCATACTTGAGTCCTTATAAAGATCTACTGGATGAAAAGAGGTTTGTTTATACATTTGCCATTTATAAACTGACATTGTTATCGTATTTAATTCGTTATACAAAGTTGAAAAATCTTGTAATAATATAAAAATTATATAATAGTTTATTCGATTTATATAAATCAATAATTCATAAAAATTTGTCTACAGATGGGATAAGCTGATCGAGACATTTCGACAAGAAAACTACAGACTGTTTCAGTTAGCGAGTCAGAGCGTATTCACGGTAGCTCTGCAAGCCGGTCTGTCAGCTCTTAAGACTCCCCAATGTTATAGTGCTAATAAGGAAGGCCGAAATCCTAGTTGTCCAGTTTGCAACGAAGCATTGAATGAATTAGCCGCACCGTTGCCTTTCGCTCACTGCTCACAATCACGACTCGTTTGCAGTATAAGTGGGAAACCACTAAATGAATATAATCAGCCTATGATGATGCCGAATGGATATGTATATGGTGAACAAGTAAGTTAAATTATTAAAACATTAATAAGTTAAATAATAATTAAAAAATGTTATAACTCTTAAAATATCAATATTTCAAAGTATTGAAAAGAGTAATGCTAGTAAAATAAATGGCCTAAAGATAATATAATATCAATATGACGTCAATGTAGAGTATTAAAGTAATTTCGAATAAAAATATTAATTATTACAGTATTAAACGTATTATACAAGGAAGATTGATGCATGCACTATGTATGTACGTGTGTATGTGTATTGTGTTCTATACATGTTAATTTTAGTCAATTGCGTATATGTATTAATTATAAATATGCATTTTTTTCAATAATTTAATTTTTGACAAAAATTTAATTTTAATTATATATCATAATTGATTTTAAAATTTATTTCATAATATGTATTTGAGAAAATGTTAGATGAGTGTATTTTTTTAAATATATATATATTTGCACTTATAATTTTTGTTGTAGGCATTGGAAAAGATGGCTCAAGAAAATAACGGTACAGTGATTTGCCCAAAGACCAAAGAAGTATTCCCATATAAAAAGATCGAAAAAGTTTACGTAATGTAAACTTCCATATATTGACACAAAGTATATACATACGTTGTATTATATGCTTAACGCTTATGGCCCTCTTCTTGCTCCAATCTCTGTTATTTAATAATAATAATAATAATTGTATACTACTGATATATTACTGGAAGGAAATAACATCTATTTTTAAGGAAAACTTGATCGACTTATTCACATCTATAAAATCCTGTATTAAAAACATATGCAATTAAAAAAATATTACTATTATTATAATTTGTTGTACGGAAATATTAGCTGATTATTTGTTAACGGGGATAGTTAGTCCTTATTCATTTATTTAACGTTCTTTCTACAATAAATTGAATGGTTCAAATTGTTTCCATAAATCTACTTATTGATAAAACGCAACCGTGAATTTCTTATTTTACAAGGTCTTTACTTTTACATATCTAAGGTTCAGAAGTTGCATTCTCAATCGTGGATTAAAAGAAGTCGATTTTCCAGATGTCGAATAAAATGATGCGCAAATGTAATATTAAAAATTTAAATTTTTTGATGTTCAAAATTTAGTGAATTATTAGTGAATTATAAAAAGTGAGAATTTAATTGACTTGATTTTTCAAAATAAACTTCTCTTTTCCAAAAACCAAATCTTGGAAAAGATTCAAATGTAGGATCGAAAAATATTATTGAATATTATTGAAAAATAATTTTAAATAGCTTAATGTATTTACGATCGAGAGATCTGCAATTCTTTAAACTTGGATATTTATAATTAATATATTGTATAATTAATATATTATGCATACATTCCAACATAGAAATGATAAAGCTCCATAGCGATGATAATGAATGAATCAAACCTTACAACTTATATCATTAAAGGCTTGTATCATTTTTATGTGGAAATGAATGCGTATTTAAATCTTATGTATAAATGTGTAATACTAATGCGTGAATATTTTTAATAAAGATTGCTTTATAGTATAATCTAAATGGTACGATATGCGCGAAACAATCCGTCGAATGAAATTTACTTGTGTGACTGAGAATCCACATATAAAAATATTTTATCTACTCTATCAATTTCTTTTTCCTTTTCTCTTCCTTAAATTCAATGAGTCTTCCGATTTTATTGGATTATTTATCGAATTCCCTTGATCATTTATTGTCTGTTGGTTTATATGGAGGATTGTCCTTGTAGGAATTCAGAATGCGTTTTAGAATTACCATTTTCGTCAGTAATAAGATAACGCGATCGAGGTAAGAAATTCCATTATTTTTTTTTAATAAGTAATGAATAGAAAATATTACACATATTTTCAATTGCAACGCAATGATTCTATGAGGCAACTTATTTATCATGTTATAACTGTATTTTCGTGGAGATGATTTTCATATATATAATGTTATAATCTATTAAATCAATTAAATAGATTAATTAAATTGGATTACATATCAATGTAATCTAATTTTTGTTAAATTCTTAGAATCATTGCATCACAAATGAAAAAGTCCCTTTTCTTCAAATGCGTTTGTCGTACAACTGGTTACGTTCATCGATTAGTAAAAGTTAAGTCGATGAAAGATAATAAATTGATTATGATTATGCAGAGTAAGTTGATCGAGATAATAAATGTGTTATAGAGAGTTTGTAGATACTATATCAGTATTCCGTCTTTTAGAATATCTAACGAAGAAGTTATTAATTGTTCATTTGTGAGAGATGAGGGCTCACGATAAATTACATTTTAGCATAATTAAAAATGCATGTGTAAATGCGATCAAATAAAATTCGCACTTGTGCTGAATACATCCCACATCTTATACAGTGTTCCTAAAGTACTTCGACATATTATATTCTGTATTGTGCGGATTTAATAGTGCTTATCAGTACAGAGTAGAATACAATTAATAGATAAAATCAGTAAGAATAGAATTTGGTAAAATTTAGTCAAACATTTTAGGAACATCTTGTTTGTATCATAACGGAGCATAACATTTGGATGAAATTCCTGTACAAAAATATAAAATTAAAAACACTTATAAGCTGTATCAAAATGTATCCTGTACTAAAGTTAGTTAATATAATGTAATATAAATATTACATACACTGTTATAAAATTGCTGTGAGGAAGCTTTAGTCGGAATAAATAATAGATTCTTAAATTTGTGTGATAATAATAACGTGATCATAATATTAATGTATATGTTTAGCGTAAGCTTCAAAAAACATTTAACATTAGTTATTTAAAGCTATAATCTATTTAAAAATCCACTTTTATTTAAGCCATAAGTGCTGCAATTAAAAAATTGTGGAGATTGTCCAGGTACAGCTTAATGGAAGAGTATTGTATAGCAGAGTATAGCTTAATCTCACGACCACTTAAAATGCGTAAAATACATGAATTTTATCGACATACATAAAGCATAAATAACATAAGCATGTATACAGATGACAATCTTGTATACATATGATGAAAAAAGATTACATCATTATTACAAATACAACATAATCATAGCCCAAAAAAATGTAACTATATTTCCAATTTCTAGAATCGTCGTTTATTAATCTATAAATATAAGGTGGAAAGCTCGTCGTCAAAATTGTGAGAGGACTAGTATCAATTGGATGGCCAACAGTCTTAACTCTCCTGCATCATTTCTCGTAACGTAGTATAATTTGTTCTAACTGTTGCAAAACAGAAAGTTTATAAAAGCATACTAAAATTTGATGATTTTAAAATTTAATTGAAAATATCATGAGACCAAAAAGTAGAAGAATTGTTTTAAAATGACTTCATTATGACTTCTGAAAAAAATTCGAAATACTGCAAATCTTTATGGAAATACAATATATATCAATATGTAGTAAAAATATTAAATAAAATACCAAATAGTACTAAAAAAAGTAAAAAAAATACAACCTTGTAATTGCGGAGTAGAATATAATGCTACAAATAAAACAAAAATTCATTACAAGACTATTACATCAGATCTTGTTACATTCTATTATGATGTAAAGAAATTATCAGACTTGGCCTTTTATTTTGTATTATTTGTAATTATGTTGACTTTTAATTTTACCAGATTCAAGCTGCAGAATTTAGACAATTCGAAATTGTAAATTTAGTTTTAATATAATTAAGTAAAATCATATATATAATTGTTTAATTTGTAGAATGCTGAGAATTGTCATTTAAAATTATCTCGTCTTTAAAATTAGTTTCATACTGTAACATATCTATGACCAGACTAATTTAAAAACGAAATATTCTCTGCAGAAAAATTCAGCATGGCAACTTTAGCGTAAACTCTATTTGAAAATGTAATGCTTATCCATTAAGAGATATATTCTCGTTGCGTGTTTAGTGCTATATGAGAAATAATTCGATAATAATTGTATTAAATGTTTTCATTCTCTTTTAAATGTGATCGTAATAAATGAACGTTATATGTATATAGCGTTAAACGCGCAACGAATTATACAGATTTTATACGTGATCTTCCTGATAAATTTAATGATTTAGCGATTACTATTTGAATACAAAAACTGAAGCGACGCATAGCTTCTTTTTATTAATAAGGCTTATTGGTCCGGTTTTAGTAATAGGGGCAGTAGTAATATAGTAGACCTAGTTTCTATAACCTCATAAAACCATGGATTCCGGTATTTCCTATACAAATCTGTTGTAAGACGATCAGATTGTGTCATTAATGCACTTTACATGGTCTTAATTTACTTTCGTATTTCTATTTCTCCTATTAACGGGACTTTAAAAATCATCAATCAATAGAAACTTCAAGCCACACACCTATAAAAAACACGCATTACTTCAAACGGCTTTTACTTAAAAGTTCATCCTTATAGTTTGTTATTTAAAGAATTGTAGATTAGAGATATATGTATATATAGATTTATACGTATATGTTTAACGTATATATAAGCAAAGAGCATTCTCCAAAACACTTCTCTCATTCGTGTCGAAGAAAGTAACTTCCGTTTCTGAAATATTATTTCTTTTCTCGAGCTGTTCTTAGAAATAACATTTTACTTATCCTCTTCGACATTGTTCTTTCTCCAAGTTTTTAAATTATTTTATATTAATTTGTAATTGTGAAAGATAAACTGTGCATTCTTAATTTTTAATCTTTTTTCTAGCTCCTGAGTTAATATATAAGCATATCGCGATGCTGAATCTTAACTTTAAAACGATCAAAATGTCACGTTGGCCACGAGAGAAGGCATCACCATGGAAAATAGAATTCCCGTGAAAATCCCCGTGATCAAAGACGCTGCCCCAAACATGCCAGCTGTCGAAGCGTACTGCGAATCCACCATTCTAAATACAAAATATCGTGTAGTAACATTGTATGTATATGTATATATTGTATACAAAGTCACATAAATTTCATGTATCTTTTAATTTTTCTCTTTATTTTTCATTAATCATGCTTACCTAGGGCAATACATCATCGATAATGACGACAGATAGCCGCTACTAAGGCCCATAGTAACGGCAATGACGAAGAACACCCAATCATTATTGATAAGTATCGGCAATATTCTTTTTGTTTCAGCCGGGTGATAGTTGCAGAGCAAGAATAACGGTATGTAAGCAAGTCGCAGAACCACTGGGATCACCAGATATCTCTTGCTCGGCTGTAAAAGAATTAATAAATAAGTAGAATTTATACAGTACGTATCAAAGATATTTATCAACTATAATTTTGTATCAACAATATAATAAACCATGTAAGAAATGTAAAATATAAATATGATATTATAAAATGTGATATATAAAACTGGGAGCCTACATACCCACTGAACTAATGATGCAATCGAGCTTCCCAGCATGGCGGTGATATTGAACGTTAAAAAGCACATAACGCTGCTATAATAGTCAGATGGAACCACAAAATTCTCATCTGAAGAACGTATATCGGATTGGACAGATGGGAAAAGCGCTAAAGTAACGAAGAAGATTAAAAATGTGTTGAAGCATTGTGGGAAACACGCCTTGAACACCAGCCAATAGGCTGGTTTAGGTTTATGTTTTCCTCTTGAACTGCTCTCTAATTGTCTTTTATTCATCTCTTTCTGATGGAGAAGCTCGTGATATCGATAGAACCTCTGCAATACAATTTATTAACATTAGTTAAACAATTTCTTTATATACTTAGTTCGAAAGTTAATAAACCACTGTATTAATTAATAAATTTATAAATAACTAATTTAAAAATTCATTTTTAATAAGAATCTTACGTTAATTGGAAGTGCAAAGTATGTGTCAAAGCAAGCCAAGAGAATGAACAAAGCCGTGATGAAATAATATATGGCGGCGGTGCGCGCGTTTGGAGCCATTATTTGCGCTAGGAAGTTTATTATAGCTGTAAAAGTTCCACTGATATTCTGAAAATAACACATGACAAATGTCTTTACATTATGCAGCTCTTTATCAGATGTGATTGATGTGATACTTACTGAGCCTAAAACAACAGCGCCCGTGTACTTAATGGGTAATTTAGCTGCCATTCCAAACACCGAGTTCTGGTAAATGCCATTGGCAGCTAAAACATAAATTTTCAATTATGCACAATTTAAATATCAAGAATTAATAACGTAACGATGTTTATTAATAATTACACATATCTTTGTTTATTAGTTATTATATTAGTTTTAATATAATTTATTAAACATTTAATAGTTTTAAATATTGATAAATTAATAATAAAGAAGTTACTTACTATTTAATATAACAACGGATACCATAGTAATCCAGAAGAATACTCCGGACCAGTCAGAACTGTCAGTCATTGCCAAGACGACAGTAAAGACAAATATCAAGACCAGAACAAAGATACTCCATACTATGCGCGTCGTCAAGTTACCTCTGAAAAGTCAGAAACATCTCTTTAGTAAAGCGCATTATTATTTAATAATCATTAATTAAATGAAAATCATTAATATTATAACAAAGGTGTATATCAATTAAGGAGACATAAAATATTTTTGTTGCAAAATGTATATTTTATTTTGTATACATACCCAAATTGTAAAAATACATTTAACCAGTTGAATAACAAATTCGGTACTTGTGATGCAAATCCCAGATATGCTAGAAAATTCGTCGCATAGTTCGTATCTACACCAGTATATTCCTTAGACAATTTGTATCCGACAAAATACTGCAAATATATGGCAATTATGTATATATGTATATATATGTAGTATTATAATTTTAACTAGTGCAATTATTATAAATCATTATACTTGGCTTACTTGTTTAGCTGTTATAAACATATTCCATGGCATCAAGGCACCGATTCCATGCAGTACCAATATGAAAAATACTAAATTTAATCTAAAACAAAATACAAAATAATATAACTTTACTTAAATCAACTATATTTTTACGATATTATTACAATATTATTACGTACAAAATTTTATACATTATTCTAATAATATAAATTTTACGTATAATTTTGTAATATAAACAAGTAATTTTTGTCAAACAAATATTAATAAACATATAATTATACCTATCTCTAGGAGGATTCAATTCAAGATCTGCTTGATCCATTGTAACGCCTTTAAAATTCAATTCGTCGTCAGGTCTACCTGTACCTTCCCATCCCGGTGAAAGACGTACAGGTTCTGAACCTTAAATGCAAATTAAGTCGTCAATCTCAAAGATTTGCTAAATATTTTATATTACGTGTATTATTTATAATATTAGATCTTGTTGCCAATATCACTATTATTACATTAATTATAAATTCAAAAAGTAATTTACATTAACACTTAATTTAAAAAATAATTTTTTATTTAACGTTAAATTAAAATAAAAAAGTTTCTGTTTGAATCAAATTCAGATTTTTCTTTCTTAAATTTTCAAATTAAGGAATTAAATTACCTAAGCTAATATAACATTCTTAAATCATTCTTCTTAAATTTAAGAAATTAATATCTTACTATATATATATTAAAGGTATATTAAATATATCTATTAATTTTAAAAAGATATATTGCAAATAAATTCAAAATTTAATAAATTCTGACTTTTATCACAAAGAATTAAAAAAATAATTCTAATAAAACAATATTGAGATGTTCAAATTAATATGGTTCTTAAGTATAAAAGGCAAGAAAGATTTGGATATAAATAGCACCTCGAGAGATATCTTAAAGAGAAAAAGAGTAAGAGAAGTAATTGAGATAGCTGATTACAAAAAAAAAAAGATAATTACGTACAGTCGCTATAATGGAATGTCACAATCAATTGACTCATTAAGATCAATTGATGCACTATGAAGACGTAATACATAAATACACGAAATATTAACAATTTATACAAAAAGATAGATAATAATTAACGTAATAAAAAGTAATATGTATGTATAGTACAGTAATTGATTATCAATTACTAACAAGCAGAAGAAAAGTGTTATAAGATGAGCAAATAAAACTTGTAAAAAAGACGATTATAAATTATCTTTTACAAAGCTAGTATTAGCAAAATTGCTAATATACAAAACTACATAAATATATAAATAAAGTAATAAAAATATAATATATAAATATTATTCTCAATAAGTAATAAAGTAAATTCAACGTATAACTCGTATAAGACAAACAGATTTGATTATAGGTAATCATTATATAGTACAGAATCTATGTAAATATAAAAAATTATGTACTTATGTCAATTATATATGAGAAAGAAATTGTCAACTACCTGTTACAGCCATTTTCCTTGCACTTAATTATTTAAATGGATTTTAGCAAAATAAGTAATAAAGAAAGATTATATCATTGCTCAGTGGATTATAAATTATTGATAATGATTTTTTACTGATTGCCGTGGGAATTAGAAACACTGCTTCAAGTCTCGCGCTTATGACTGTTAGTGACTACAGAATAGGCTCTCATATTCATTTAGCTAAATCAGCATGTCACATCAGCAAAATAAAACTTTATGCACAAGAGAATGTGATTCTCTTATAGGAGCTACAATGAAATATATTTTAACGCTGTTAGTAACATTATTACTGTATATACTTTTCACAATTATGAATAATACCGAGTTATTAATATTAACAATTAAATATACAATGTAATGAACAAGCAATGCAAGAAAGATTGATAAGTTACAAAAAGCTGTATGCTAAGTAAAAGTATAAATAATGTAAATATAAAAAATAAATAAGAGGATAGAGAAGAGAAAAAAATACATAAATAAACCAATATGTAATAAAATTATGAATAAACATATCGATTATTTTAAATCTTGTACATTATTTTATAATTATTTTTTAATATTTTTAGTGAGTTTAAAATCAATTTTCTCTTTATATTTTGCTGAAATAAGACTTCTAAGAATTTTAAATGTACTTATGGTTATCTGCTACAAAGCAATAAGATAGCAAGTAATAAACATGCACTCCAAAATGAAAAAGACCTTTTGTCTTCAAAATATCTTATCAATCTTCAATTGTACTATAATAGAGTTAGATAAATGATAGCTCAGAAAAATTCTCAAGAGTCCAAGAAAATAAACATGTTCTCTTGATTTTTGATATTTAAGATAATTTAATTTTCGAGATTAAAGATAATTTATTAACTTTATTAAAAATGAATCAATCTCTACGAGTGTATTATTAAACCTAAAATTATTTCAATAACATAGTTAATACAATTATGACTCTCTAATTATTAGTCGTACGAAATACAATTCACAATATGTTAAATTCAATCTAAACATTTAGATGTTGATACAATAATATTGCAATTGCAATTTTGTTCCATAGATTGAATTATTTAAAATTTATTTAAATTTCTCACTAAGAATAACTCAAAATCAATTATTTAAACTTCACTGAATTATCTTAAATCATAAGTATTATATATCTATCATGCAACATCAAAATGATAAATTAGATACTAATATCGATTAAATCAGTTTGTTCAGCCGTCGCATGTTATACAATTATTATCAGATTTAAATTAATGAGATATGTTTTTGTATCAAGTTCAACAAACTACGAACCAATGTTAAACCCACAAATACTTCACTGTCAATGCCAAGGATGCCAAGTCCACAGCCTGAAAGCTTCTTGTACAGACTGGTTTGAGCAACTGTACAGTGGGAAAATAAAACTACAAGAAAGATGCTGCATTCCCCCGTAGCCATGACGGCGGATGCAACAGACGGCGTACTGCGGTCTCATTACCTTTCGAAGGTACGATGCGGGTCCCATTGGAGTCTTTCAGAAGAGTCTGCTCCTCAGGCCCCGCACCAAATTCCTTCTTCGTGTAAGTGCCCGCCATATTCCTTTTTTGTTGATTTTGTTTCCGTTACGAAAGAGAGGTTCTTCAAAAGCTATTGACTTCGACGACGACTTCGGTAATAACTGCGACGACTTTAGTGCATCCCTCAATGACCGGTCCAGAAAGAGTGTAATTTTATAAGCACTTTCTGCACTCCACTGCACGATTTTGTCCTCGTCTGGAAAAACAGTATTTATTTTAATTGTGGTATCTTTGGTGACATTGTATATAAAATTTTCATAAAATTGTTGAGGTTTGCCGTTATCGTTAAGATCCTTAAATCATAAAAATTTGCATTTTTATGAATCACAAAGAATATATGAGGTGATATCCATGCCAAATTTTCTTAGAATCTTATTATTGTAGAGATTAACACAAGTGTCAAAATATAAAAATATCATCAAAAATATTATCAAAAATATCAGTAAATAATTCTAAAAATTCGAATTATAAAAATAAATTATATTTCTTGATTTTAAGCAAACTACAAACGCTAACATAATATTAATATCTTATACAAATATGATCATACTAGTTTAATAATTAAATCCGAATACACTCAATATTTCTAACATAAGTAAATTAAATAAAGAAGAAATTAACAGTATCAGTGTAACATCTTTATAAATCGCAAAAATGAATTAGAAAATAAAATATCTTCTATTACGTATGTACAATGACCCAGATATGATATCAATGTCGCAATCAAGGGATTCGATATACCTCGTGCAAGTACTCTTGATGTAGGTCAAGCAAGCAAAATATTAAAGCGAGCGTGATAAACATATAAATTCTCCTCTACGCTAGTCTAGATTACGAGACAAGTCGGACGTGTGTAGGTATTCCGTGCGCGTCTCGCAGCAGAGCAGGTAGGTTAAAGGGAGTTAGGAAGAGCGTGGCCGATGAGAGAATAGACAGACCTTACGCCGGGCGAACCTTTTTTTTGCGTTGCTCGTTCTCGCGCTCGACTACCGGATTAACCGGAGAGCGATTCGCCAGGCTTATTGCCGGCGATTGACGTTAATGGGCCGCCCGAAGGGTGGGTGCGTGGCGAGAAAAAGAATCACGTGCCAACGTCCATCGGCCGACGGTTCGAGGTTCGAGCGCGGTTCCGTGCGGTTTTGTTTGTTTGCCTGGCCTCGCACACTGGGCGCGAGAGGAAGAGAGGGAGAGAGAGAGAGAAAGAGAGGGAAGAAAAAAAGGGGGTTGCAGTCAGCGACGAAGTAAACGGAGTTGAGCCGAGATCGTACGAGATACCGGGAGCGCTGCGGGACGGCGGCACGCGAGCGACCGTACCATGTTTTTCCGTACTGCACGGCAACGGCACACTCCGCTTAGGTTAGGTCGCGAGAGGGGAGGTTACGAGCTACGAGTTCATCGAGATATTCGAGATATACGGCGCGGCGCCGAAGCGCGCCGAAGAGCGCCGAGCGCTCACGAGGGTGCGACGTTCGAAAAGGACGAAAGGTAAAAGGCGTAAAAATAGCCGCGCGACGACGAGTCTCCGTACGTTTCGATCGTTCGACGGGACGAGGAAAGAAAAAGAAAAAGATGAAAACACGGATACTCACACTCGCGTGGACATTGGACACGCGACGGCCGTCGAATGCCCGCGAACTCGCAGTTGGGAGTGTTGGGACTGTTGGGAGCGCCGATATATTAATAAATCATGCGCGATAAATCGCGCTCGATGGAGCGTGACGTGACGTTCCCCCTATTTACGCCCGCATTCGCGATTTCACTGATTTCAGCCGTGTTTTTTTTTCGTCTTTCGAGTTCTTTTTTTCCTCCTCTCCGGAGTACGATCTCTTTCGCGAATGCAAGAAGCGCGGCTAAAATGAATATGCGATCGAGCAGCATCGATAATTACGAGTCTCGCTTCTTTTAAGGTCTATTCAAACGTGCTTGCATCGCGGCGTGAATTATACACGTAGGAGAAACCAGCCAATTAGGCGTGTAACACGGATGAGCATACGCGCTGCGACATCGTTCCGCTTTGTACCGACGATTGGTCGATTTTTTTAACATGCACGCGGCTGTATGGATAGACCCAATAATTATATGGAAGCTGGTGACCTCATGATTGTTTAAATAATCGTGATGAAGATAAAGCAATCAACGGCGCTATAAAGAATGTTACGTAATTGTATCTAATGCAAGTAGCAGCGTATCTATTTCGAGTATTAATTACATCTTTATGCTTTATTACAATAGATCGAATCTTTTGATAAAAAATTGCTTAGCTTGCGTAAATAATTGCTAGAGTTGCATAACAGTTGCAACTCTAGCATATAGTTTTATAATAAAAGTTGTTAAAAGCCTTTGCTAACAACTAGGAAAATAATAGAAAATAATAGGCTTAATTAATATAACAATTTAAAAGATAATTATACATATTTTGATATTTGAATGTATATATATTAATCTTTGTGCCTTTGTGTAAAACAGAGACAATATATATTTGAACACATACATGGATATATATGTAGATACATTTATTTTTGTACAAAAGAACACATTTTTTTCTATTAAATATTTTCCCTAAGCCTCGGTGATTTTTTTGTGTTTTGTCAACCCCAAGTTTCCGTTTGATATCGATTGCTCTTCTCCAAATGCTTAATGAATGTTTCTGCTTGCTCCTTCGTCATTTTACCGATTTCTTTTGCTAAACTAACGAATTCGTCGCGCACGTTGTCCGGCATATTCTTAGAATTTCCCGCTAAATAAATACTGCCATTGTTTTCTAAAAATTGCCAGCACAGCTCCTTTTGCTGGCGGATAACATGCTGCACATATCTGAAAGAAAAACGTTAAAAAATACAATTAAGAAAGTTAAGATTTAATACACACATTTATATTATAATAATCAATGCTAAAATAATAATGAACTGTAACTTAATTTCGTATTTGAGATAATAAAAAAAATTATAATTCTAAAACAATTTTATTTTAATTACTTACATTTTACGATCCTGATCTCTGGAAAACGCGCAGAACACTTTCAGATTGTTCTCCCTCGATAAACGCTCAAAATCCTGCCTGCAATGATAATCCTTATCCTCATTCCTGCATCCAAAGAACAGGATGCATTCTTTCAGGTCTTTTTCTTTTTTTGCCCTCTCCAAAAGCAAAGATCTAAACGGAGCCACTCCAGTTCCAGGGCCAATCAAAATCATCGGCTTGTCATTGTTGAATCGAAAAGTTCCTTTCTGCAGCCAAAAGATCACTTTGTTGTTATTTTTTAAACTTGCTAGCCACTTTGTACATAACCCAAATCTTGGCTCCACCAATCTGGTCTTAAATTTAACTACCGCTACCAAAACTTGTATTCTATTTGGAGTAGCTTCTAAGCTGGAGGCAATGCTGTAAGGACGTGGCTTTATTGGCGACATGATTTCAAACAATAATTTAATGTTCATCTTACTGGTCGTGTGAGGGAAATCTGTGAGAACCTCCAAAATATTTCGTCTCGGTCTGTTTATATAATCATAAAGCTCTTCTTGACCAATCGGACTGGCAAATTCGCACAGTTTTTCTTTCTCCAACTCATTGTCGCTGACAAGAGACAAAGTGTGCATGGTAGATCTTCGTGGCTTGAAATTCAGGTCCCAGTATTGCTCAACGATCTCCCTCAAAGTTAAATTTCGTTTTAAAACAAACGGAACCTTTATCTCCTTCTCCGATACTTGGATCACCGTGTCTGGAAACAGTTTTATCTCGTGTTCGCGTAGTATGTCGAAAAATCGTTTCACCTGTTCCGCAGTATTCTTTGGTCTAATGTAGATAACGTCTCCAGGATCATATTTAATATTATCCGCTTGGATGTTTATTAATCTAACATCTTGAAAGTGATCTTCGGAAGTGGTTCTTATATTTTCGACTATTGTTCCTATTCTAACATCGCTATTTATGAACGTTTCTTGCGCATAGATGTCAGCATTTGATTGGTACGGACTGCCTGTTAACAGTTCGTCAATACGTATCGGATTTAATTGATTTATTTCTATTATTGAAACACCAAATCTCTCGATTATTAAATTTTCTTCATTCGTTTTCTCTTTCACAGAAATTTCAAAAACGTCTACAATTTCGTCCCATAATTTTTTGATCCAGGGATCAACTACAGCGTCAATTCCCAGATTGTGCTGATCATCAGCAAGTCCAATGGGCAATAATTCTTCGCCACCTAATTGCGCAAGGCGTTTGTTTAATTTCTTCGCAGCAAAGTTGAATTTGGAATATGAACTGTCGCCCAATCCAAGTACGCCATATTTTAGATTTTTGAGCATGGTTGCTGGAAGATTTTTGCGCAATAGTTGTCTCCAAAATTGTTTCATGTTGGCTGGAGGGTCTCCTTGTCCAGTCGTTGCGACAACGAAGATAATCAGTTGTTCGGAAGGGAGATTTTGAATATCATATTCATCCAGAGATGATACGGCGCTTTGCAATCCTTTTCTATAAAATTAAAAAAATTATATATATTTTTAGTTTTAAATTAGGATATACATATTTACATAAACTTCAAACTGTTTCTTCTGCTTTTTACATAAGAAAAGAATAAAATATTGTTTATTTTTCAAATATTAAAATGTTAATATTATTTATTTTTTAAATCAAAAGAGAATATTTTCTATTTTTGTTTTAAAATTCAAACAACGTGTAATAAGAAATTCTTGATAGGATATTATAGGATAGGTAGGATTTACATGGATAAAGATGGACGAAGAGTTTATAAGGAAACTTTATTCGTACATAGCGTAGAAGTAGATTATCAAGATAAAATATCACTTAATTGTTATCACTTAATTACATAATTAAATGATTTAAAATAAACGTTATATATAAAGAGTTGGAATATAATACATTTGCTTTCTCTGTCTATTTTTTCTTTACTTTCCGTTTTACTTATTTTATATATATATATATATATATAATTGAAAATTATTCTGAATAACATAAATGCCGAAAAAAAGAGATATGACAGAAATGTAGAATCTTTATCGCTGATTTCTTTCTTCTGAATATTGTTAGCTAGAAAGAAAAGATCGCATTCATAGCGAAGCTAATTATATAGGAAAAATAACAAACGTTAAAGACATAAAGGTGAATCACGTCTGTTTAAAGATCATTTAAAGATATGAGAGTAGGATTTGTGTGCCAGAAATTTTCCCAGAGGAGAAGGTTCGTGTGCCAGAGGGGAACAATAACAAAACCTTTTGGCGCTCTTCCAGATCTGCTCGGCGACGTCTTGAGCGGTTCCGGTCTCGCTTCCGTACAGCACCCGGATAACCATTTCATCAATTTTCGTCATCGCAATTCTTTCACGTCGCAATTGAATAAACTTTTCGGCGATGACGGGCAGTCCACGTTACTGAAGTGTCTCAGCTGATTCGAACAGTGATGTCATCGCGATCAAGACGAGTGTATAGCTAGAGAGTTTTTAGCTACGTCACGTTGCATACACTTTGCATACTTAAAATAAAACATCTGGCACTGAAAGAGAGACGAAGAAAAGTCGTTATATTGCTTCTTTCGAGAACGATTGACAGCATCGTAGTTGTAACATCCAAATTACATGTCTAGCTGAGTGCGAATTCTTGAAGAGGTCTAATCGCTCCAAATCCTTTAATTCCCTCAATCAAAAACACTATAAAACAGATAGGTCTTTATATTTCTCACATTGATTGCATCCCTTGTATTTTATTCTAATTCTCTTTGCTACATTATTTTAAATGCAGACTGAAATGCGGAAATAAAAGCAGTTGTAACGAACAACTCGCATTAAATGCCGTAAAGTGAAGTGGATCTAAGGATGTGGTTATTTATACGTTTGGAGCAACACGGGAAAATCTTCCATGGCATTTGCTAGCCGACAGATGCGGAACAATCTCGCGATCACGTTGATGAAATGTCAAGGATAAACGTTTGGGCAAACTGGTCCCAATTGGCAGCGGGCTCCGAGGAATTATAAATAAAAAAATCGCCCCATCGATCGTGCCCGATGCAATCGTCTTTCTCGCGGTTTTCGAGGGAGATCTCTAAACTCGATTTCGGTGCAAAGCTTATCACAGTTATCACGGAGAATCATCGAATAGAGCGAAAGTCATTCGGATTCAAAGGCAGCAGACGTGCAGATTTAATTCGAGGGCGTTGTTCATGAGAATCGGAGTCGAGTTGTCGAAGGGTATACACGCGCGAAAAGTCGAGAATCGCACGTTTACTCGTCCTTCTAGAAACGGATGTCTCGAGGCGCACCGTCGACAATGCCGAGAGCGAAAAAACGTCTCTCGAACGATCTTCAATGGCTTTAGTCCTGCAACGAGACGGGAAAGTGGAGGAACACGATTACACGCGGAGTCGCAACATGATTTTGAGGTTAGCCTCGCGTGATGTAACGGTATTATAATTAACAAACCAGCTGGGAACAATGACGTCTTCATTCGTATAATTGAAGATTGGATAAAACCGCTCTGGATCTTGTTTTCCCAGCGAAATCACTGGTTCATCAGCGACTTTGAGAGCGTTTTTTTCGCGACGGGACGAAAACGGAGTTTGAGGTTAGATTAGCTTTCCAGATAGCAAATCGTGAAAAACTGCTCAATCGTGTTCAATATCTGATCTTTTTTCGGCTAGATTATCTAAGTCGATTTCTGCGAAGAAGGAAAGAAGCGTGAAAACAGCGGGACGAGAACTGAAGTTAGGTTAGATTATTCACACACGCGTGTTTTTGACGAAGACTCGGATCGGGGGAGGTTCGGCTGACTGTCGATGTCGAGACGCTCGAAACCGTCGAAATTACGTTTTTCCGACGAGAGACCCGCGATCCACCGGCGACTTCATCGTCGCCGAGCGAGGATTCGAGGACTTTTGAGGTTAGCGGGATTAGCGGGATTTCGGGTTCGAGGTTAGCCGCGCGGCGCGCACTCTCGACGGAATCGCCATCAATCGCCATGCGCGCATGCTCCCATGACGTAACGGTAGTCGGCGAGAAGGGGAGGGGGCGCGCGAGCGGTTGGCAGTACTGGCACCCGTCTGTTTGCGGATGACTGTCAAAACCTACTTCCGCAGCCAGCGAGCGAGATCGCCGTCGTCGTCGTCGTCGTCGTCACCGCTGCCGTCGCCGTCGTATTCGCGGAGCAGCACGCCAGCATCGGGTGACGGGCGGAGCAGCACGCCGTGGAGCGCGCGCGAACGCTCGCGGACGATGTCGTGACGTCGTGACGCGGTGACCAGCGGTGACAGCGACTCGCGCTTCTCGTGTCTTCTACCGTGTCTTCGTCGAGACGAGAGAGAGAGAGAGAGAGAGAGGGAGAGGGAAAGAGAGAGAGAAAAAAAAGAGACGTCGCGCCGCGGTTTGTCTTTCTCTTCGCTGCGTCTCGCGTTCCCGATTCCTCGTCGTCGTCGCCGTCGGATAATCCCGAAGGAAAAGGAAAGGAAGGGCCGAGCGTCGCGGCTCGCGAGAGATTGATCGTGCGCGTACGTGTGCGTGCGCGCGTGCGAGTGAGCAAGCGAGAGCGAGCGAGCTTAACCTGCCTGCCTACCTGCCTGCCTACCTGTCCGTTCCCGCGAACGCGAGCGGCGCGCTGACGAAAACCTGCGCGCTCGCTGGTGCATGAATGGTACATGAGTCGGCCGGACAGTGCCGAGCTGCGGGATCTCTCATGGAGGACAGCCGAGTGTGACGGTAGCTGGCGACGCGCGGGGCTCCACAAGGTGGCACGGGATAACGTCAAGGTTACCGCAGCCCAACCATCCAGAGGTAGTCGCGCGTCTCTCGACCGTCCGAAAAAAAAGAAGAAAAAAAAAATAACGAAATTAGCACGAGGCTCCCGATTTCCGGAAATTTTCCTGTCGTTCCTCGCGCCCGTCGAGGAGGCACCTCCGACCGGGGGAACTCGCCTCCGCCGTTCCGCCAGGTTAGGTTTTCCTCGGGGACGCGAAGGAGGGATACGGGGAGATCGGTCACGCGGTGCCGCGTGTTCTCCAATTTCGCCAAGTGCGGCTGAAAAGAGCGAGCGACGCGTGACGAACATTCCAATGCTCGAATATTCAAAGTGTATCTACTTATTACGTATATCTGTGATTTCGAAGTCATATGAGATATCGAGAATAGTCGTACAAGCGTTACGCTCGGTATAGAAGGGAGACACGTGTGCAAAAGATGGGATTAAAGAGACTCGCAGTCCCTTTTACATTTGAATATTCAACTTCATTTGTCCCAAATGTCTGTCCCATTTAAGCTGCATTTTATGCACCTTTCTATATACATATCTATATACATATAAGTTTTGTACATTTGGCTCTGTTTTCATCTCGGTCATGCTTTTCTCAAGTTTTCTATAAAGGGAGTTAGATGTAGAGGAGTAAAAAAGAGTAAAAGGAAACAGACAAAGAATAATTGAGATAAACAGTTTATCAACCGATGTTTCTTTCTTCACTAAATGACTCGACTTGATAGCAGTGATTCATTATTTTTTTTTTATCATGCTTTCTGTATATTTTCTCATTCTTTTTTCTTATAATTTTAGCTCTTTCAATATCTTTTGCTCTTTTTGCACACTTAGATAACGAATCCTATTTTGAATGCAAGAAACATGAGAAAATATAACTAGGAGCAATAATATATTCCATATCACATACACATACATTTATATTTTATGTAAATATTACTATTTCTTTTTTTTTTTTTTTTCAGATTCTTCCACTGATGGCCACATTGGCACATCTCTAGCGGCATTGTTTCACCACAATCAGACATAATGCTGATCACATAGCGTATACTGGGCTGTAAACCACATACTTGGACGCAAATCTCCCCGATAGATTATGCGCTGCGCGGCATAGAAAATTCAACTAGGATATTTAGGATATTTAATGTACTGATGCACATTTTGGCGTCATTTTTCAACTAAATATTTTCTTCCGCATCGAGAAGTATTGCATTCCTCTCGGCCAACGATACCAAAACCTCCATTGATTAATTCCTCCATCCATTGAAGATGACCAGTAGACTCGAGGAAACAGAGCAGAAATGGACTTGCGAGTACTGCACTTATGAGAATTGGCCCTCTTCTTTAAAATGCACCATGTGCAGGGGCGCCAAGCCTCTCCTGGGCGAAGACATTTATCGTCTTCGGGATCCCAGCCCCCAAAGAGGTTCCTCCAACGTCGCTTCCGGCCCCGTGTCCCAGATAAGTCCTACGGACAACTTTACTTCGCAAAATTACAGCCAGAATCTGCCTTCGGCGGGAAAGTGGGCCTGCACCATGTGCACTTATATTAATTATCAGAATACAACGCGGTGCGTACAGTGCAGCAACCGGAAGCCTGTCAATCAGTCTGTCAATTCATTAGCATCGAATCTACATGAACATTTAGCGCCGCTGCGACTGGCCGATGGATCACCAAACTCGGGATCGAATTCCCAGCTGAATCCCTCGCCAATTAATCTCCATCCGGAAAGATTGTACAATATGAATCCAGAGAAATGGTCCTGTCATGTGTGTACTTACGAGAACTGGCCCAAGGCGACCAAATGCGTCATGTGCGGTCATCCGAAGGAGAAGGATAAAAGGGATAAGGGAACACAGGGAAATGGGGTGATTTTACCGAGTCCCGAGAGAGAGCATAGTCAACGGGGTTTGCCATCGCCTCCACACGCACCTTATATTCATCAGACGCAGAGAGAGGATAATTTAGCGATAGGAAGGAGGTAATATTGAATTACATATTTTATATTTCATATATTTTGTAAAATGTGAACGCGTTATATAATAAACAATCATTATATAACAAGTATAATATTCAGAAAAGATAAATAGAAGAAATATTTAACGATTAACGATATTAACAATTCCGATATTTTTTTTTTTTAAATAAACATAATTTTTTACTATATTTTCTAAATAAGTTACAAATATGTGCGTTATGATATACTTACAAAAGAATATTCTTCTGTTAATATATTTTAATGCGTATTTATAACTTATCTTTAACATTTCAGAGGTCCACATAGGTATGCGGAGAGCCGGAACGATAGTTTATCAACTCCTCAATCTCCGAATAACTGTGATTACGAGCGCCGATTGAAGCAGTTAAGACGCCACACTGATTGGTGTTGGTTAAACGCTTGTCTCGGTATTGTCGAAGGTGACAACACTCCTGTTGAAGCTTACCTGGCGAGCGGTGGCGATCCTGCCCGCCAATTGACGCATTCTGAGGTTTTGCTCCTTAACAGAAGTAGCGCGTTTGACGTTGGGCACACCTTGGTGCACTTGGCTATTAGGTAAACACAAATAACTTGAATAAATACTTCTATAAGTTGATATTATTAAATAAAGTACCATTCTTAACATTAATAGATTAATAGAATTTTAATTGGGATTTCCATAGGTTTCAAAGGGAAGATATTTTAGCAACATTGCTGTCGCAAATTGAAGGTTCGGGCTCGGGGGTGAAAAGGGTACCGAGTTACGTCGCACCTGATCTCGCGGTACAGATTCGCCGACATGTCACCAATAGTATACGCTTACGCAAAGGCTCATTCCCCTGTTATTTTGTTACCGATATGGCCACCTTCGCGTTGCCAGCCGAGGTTATTATGTATTATGATTTTAATATAACCTAAATGAAAAGTAAATCTTTTAATCTAGTTAACGTTACTTTTAAGTAATAAACAATCTTTAAACTTTTAAAAATATTTAACTTCTATTTGTAATATATTCTAACTTACTGAAGAGATTGTATAAAAGTGTGCGAGCATGTATATACATATATATGTTATTTTTATATTTAAAATTGGATATATATTTTTAGGTTGAAGATCTGCCGAGCATTGTACAAGAGCAGATGCTAGAGGAATTGTTAGATAAGGAAGCTCAACAGCAATTGGAAGGCGGTGGTGGCGAACCGCCAGCTCTAAATTGGTCTTTAGAAATTACTGAACGATTAGGTAGTCGTTTACATGCGCTCTGGAACCGATCGGCTGGGGATTGTCTTCTGGATTCTGCTATGCAAGCCACTTGGGGTGTTTTCGATAGAGACAATGCTCTCAGGAGGGCGCTCGCCGATACCCTACAACAAGCTGGGCAATTGTAAGATTTGCGATTAAATAAATAAATATATAATATAATTTCCAGATTAATCAATAGATAGCATAATAATAAAAAGAAAAATAAATATAATTAAAAAATATAATTTTGAAAAATTATATTTAAAAAATAAAAGAATCTCAATTTAGTTAATAAATATCTCATTTTTTTCAATTATTCAGTCGAAATAAGCTTCATGTATTTTATACAAAATGTTATTTTTCAGCTTTTATCCTCGTTGGAGAGAGTACGAAGCCTCGCAAGCATCTAGGATGTTAGATTTTACTTTAGAAGAGACGCAGTGGCAAGAAGATTGGGAAAGCTTGCTAGCAACGGCCGCTCAACCTGGAAGCGCGTTAGAACAATTACACGTGTTTGCCCTTGCCCACATTTTAAGACGACCCATTATAGTTTATGGAGTTAAATATGTTAAAAGTTTCCGCGGTGAAGATATAGGTACATTCTAAAAATTACAACTATAACATTTTCTTTCTGTTTTCTTTAATTCTTTAAGATTTTTTCAAGACTAACTCAAGAATTAAGATTTCTATGATTTTTTAAAAGTCTTTTTTACGATTTTAAAGCGTTTTTTTTTTAAAGATTTGTAAGATTTAGAATAATACCAATTATCTTTATGTATTTTGTAGGATATGCGAGATTTGAAGGCGTCTATCTACCACTATTATGGGAACCTTCATTTTGCATCCGTTCACCAATCGCATTGGGTTATACCCGTGGCCATTTCACGGCGTTGGTTCCAATTGAGCCCTACGCCTCGTCCAGAATACCGCCCCTCGCAACTCACGGGGTAGTGAGTGGGAACAACAGTCCACTCGAGCAGCTACAGATTCAGATGCAGACCACCTTTATGCCACTAATGGATCGTGAGCATAAGCTTCTGCCAATACACTTTCTCACGACTGATGAGATCGGTCGTGAAGAATCCATTTACAAAGAGTGGTTGGATGTATGTAGAACAGAGGGTGGAATTCTGGTAGCACAGCAGAAACTTCACAAAAGACCGCTGCTCGTTGCGCAGATGCTGGAAGAGTGGTTAAATCATTATCGTAGATTAGCGTGAGTAATTTTTAATTGTCTTGAGCTCTGTTAATGAATCATAACTGTAATATAAAGCAGTTAAAAAAAAAATAATTTTAAATTCTAATAATATAAAGAATATAAAATGACTAAAATTACAATAAATGTGATAATAATTCGATAATAAATAATTACTTTTTTCTCTATATTGCAGTCAAACCAACGAGGCACCTTTCTCGAGACCACCCACATTACAGGATTATAGTAGCGATGGTGATACCGAAGATGAGTAGTGCAGTAATTTTAAGAGAGAAGTGTTACGACTGACATGAGAAGCATCTTCATTTCTCACAAGTTGATTCTCAACCGAAAATTATAAAATGGTTAGTATTATAAAACGAAAACTATACGTGAATGCCGTACTTTCATGAATAACTCGATACAGAGAAACTACTACGTCCATACACTGGCAATGTACCATTTAAAAAATTGAGAACGCTGTCACATCGCTATGGATCACTTTGCAAGCAAAAATTATAAAGTTTGAATTAGGATTTACGAACTATATCAAACTATAATGCACTAATTATTGAGTTATTGCCATTATTGGGGGAAAAACATCTTTTTACAATTAAATTACCTATACATTTCTCAGAAATGTTTAGTTATGACATAGCAAGATAATGCCAGTTTGTTGCAAAAATCTTTCTTTGCGGAATGAATTATTTTTTTATCATATTATTATGCTGATGTTAACGCAACTTAAGAAAATGATGTAATACTTTTTTTATCGTGATAAAACATGGGAAGAAAATACGAGTTTAATTTTTTGATATGGAAAAGGGAATGTTGGATATATTATATATAAGTATGGAGATGTGTGTTTAAATAATACGTATAGGTGTTATACAATTCATTGCCAGTGACGGTGAGCGAAAGTGGGAAACATTGTCGTTTGTTACAAATTGTCGAATCGTTTTGCATAATATTAGAAATTTAATTGTTAGGCTATTGAAAATAACATTTTTTCACAGATAGTTTGTAAAAATATAGTCTCGGAGGAGGGAAAGAATTTGAAACTTCTTCTCTCGCAAAATATTGTGGAATTTTGCGAAAACGTTCGGACAGATTTTTGAGCATTCGTTTGTCGCGTTCCATTATAATGACAAACGAAATAATAAGTGTGATTTAATGGCAGACTTTTTAGTCTTCTCTCTAAGAAGGAAGAAAACTTAGATTATCAATAATATTTTGAATAACTAATTTCGAGATATAATCACTTAAAAATTAATTATTCAGATATTGATTGTCGATTGAAAGTTTCTTATCTTCAATTATAAGAATCAATAAATAGTTGAATTTCGAATAATTGAAAATAAAGAATTTTTCGTGTAAAACATCGTCCTTGCTGCCGGAGTTAATTTTTCAAGAAAAGTATTTAAGTTTTTATTTTAATTTGATATATTTTAAATAAAATAAAAATATTTACTTCAATGAGATAACTTTTTATCTATAAAATTTTCGACTACAAAAATCTGCCACTAAAGATCGATATAAAATATCTTATATAGTGACACGAGTTCCGACATACCTGAGGCGCAATTCTTCAGGATAGTAATCTAGAAAAGTCAACAAATTCCGTGTATAATCGTCTTTAAGTCGTTTCACTTGTTATAACTTAGAACTGCGTTAAGGAAATCAAGCAGTCGAACACGAACAACGATCTGTCCCTTTTTAATGATCGAAATCGCGCGGATCTAGAGCGTTTATCTCCAATGGTGTGTTAATAGGAAAAAATATATAACTAACAGACTTGTGAAAAACTGTTTGCTCTGTAAAGAGAAAAAAATATGGTTTCATTTTTATGCGAGGGATATAATATATTATTATATAGTAATAATAATATATTAAATTTTTCGCGTAAGTGTGGTTCACAATCGTGTTAAATCTATATATATATAACACTGTACGAACTTTTATAAAAAGCGATGAGAAAGAAATTAAAGAGATGAGTAGCACATATGTTTAAGCGTTAGGATTATTATCGAACAGCTGACACACATACACACACACACACACATACACACGCGCACGCACACACACGCGCGCACACACGCGCGCCCACACACGTATTCACACATCTAACAACGCATTCTAGCGAACGAACAAGCGATTGTAACAAATCTTTAATCAAAAAAGTACAAAAAGTCGCTAGAAATGTTTCTTCGGAAATACTTCTTCGTTTTTTCGACGTAACAATAATAGTCTTCATTTCTTACTATTTAATTCTGATAACAGCAACAATGTAGCGTCTAGTCCTTTTGCATATAGCACCACATCGCGTTTTTTTTCCTTTCTTAATTATGAATTAATTATTGCGCGATCGGAAGTCACGTGATAAAAATTAATGAAAAAGGCTTGAAAGGAGAGATCAAAACCAGATCAAGAAACCGGTGTAATTCTGTCGGATTTCGAAATAGATTTCGGAATTAAAGAAAAGTGAAAACTTTTATAATATAAAATGTAAAATTTTGAACATGATGTGATATGAAAAAGGTTGTATTATTATTAATTTCGACTTATTATTTTCGTCTTGTCTTTACGCGAAGTATCATCCCTTTTTCCAAGCGTGTCATACATAATCCCTCCATATCCTGTATAGTTGTATAGATTAAAAATTAAAGGAAAAGGAGAAACAGATTTTAAATAATCATGAAGAAATCTGAATTCGAGAAATAAGTTCGAAGTATAATATTGCAGCGTAGAATATTGGAAGAAAAATTGTATATAGGTCTACACATGAACTCCAGGAACATTTCGAGACTTTATTTTAAGTCATTTTTAATTTATTGTACAATGCCAAAAATAAAGTCGAAATATTCCTGCAAGTAATTACACATTGCTCCAACATTCTGCATTATAGTTCGAATTTAAACCTGTGCTGCATTTTTTAATCTACAAATCATTGTTTTCAATATACGTTTTTTAATTGATTTATAAAAAAATCAAAGGAGCTTTTTCGGTCCTGTTTAAATTACGAAATAATTGGAGCTAATTAATGATCTCTATTATATATATATAATCATCTATTTATTACAAATTATTAAATTAATTATGGATTATGTAAATAAATTAATTATTTCTCTCTCGCGGAAAAGAAAATTTTTGACGGAGGTTACATTTTTATAAAGCCTTTGATTCACCGAAATTATATCGGTTTCTAGATCCCTAATTTTCGAGAGGGACAACAGGTATAAGTCAATTCTATAGTGTCCTGTCTGCGAAAGCGGCAGAAGCGAGGCTTATCGCTATGATTGTAATTGTTAATGTTATATACATCGACGATTGTTATTGTTATGATTATTACATTATTACATAGCATAAGTCCGTGACTTACAAGGCCCATTTTAAACACGAAATTGCATCTTTAGAACGAATTCTATAAGTTATGCATTTAAACTAATGTTGCTGTAAATTCTTTTTTTATCACAAAAAATGCGATAATGCTGGCTTCTGCGTAAAAAAAAGAAATGAAAGTAAGGGACTTTCTTTTTATTAATTTTCGATATTAATTGTTATTGATAAAAACCAGCTATTTTTAACGTATCATTGATAATTAACCTAATTTTGGTTTCTAATTATTTAATAGAAACTATTATTTTAATCAAATTAATTAAATTTAAACGTAAATTATGCATTATTAATAGGAACTGATATCGAAAATTAATTCTGAGGTTAACTTTTAATTAATTAATTCTCAGATTATAATTCTTGATGGACACGGCAAAGTTTTTTCGGCAAAATAGGGAAAAAATGTTAAAAAAAATTAACAATGTTCGACGGAGGTGTTTTCTTTTTAAGCAAGTATAGTTTTCTCGATTTATTGTTGCCAGAATTTGCTCTTGGCAGGTGATAAAGTATAGAGAGTTTTAAAAATCTATTCTCTAATCAGGAAGCAGAATAGAGAAGTCTATAAATATATAAATATAAATATTAATATTAATATAGAACATATATATGAAATATAGATATTATATGAGATAATATATCGATGTACAATAATTCGAAATAACGATTTATTATTATTATTATTATTATTATTACATGATTCTGACGATAATGATTATTATAAATAATATAATAAGAAAACATCGAGGTGTGAATCAATAAATGCTGAAGTACTTTATGTCATTTTCATCTTTATTGAAATAATTTCTCAGGATTTACTAATCAGTCCCTTCTCTAGCCATTATTAATGCTAGCAGCGATATTGCGCTTTTAATATCTGGAACCGGCCTGGGATTGGTCGGTTACACTGCGCATTCGCGAGAACATTACATCCCTTATCCCTCAGCCATACGACATGATACGACCCCCTCGTCTATCCGCTATCGCGGCTGCACGGTCCGTCGTAGCACGTAGTCGACGATGTCGTCGTCCGTGTAATTACAACGTAAGTACGCTCCGCCACGTTATGAGCACATTCCGCTACATCCCGAAGTCTCCTTGAGATACTCCAGGATCGCTTTTTATTATCAATCGTCCGCCGCGGAAGTGCGTGTGTGCGTGATGTTTGCCGCGACATATATTATGTCGGGAGTTCGGACACCATATGACAATTTTTATATTATCGATTTTCATTAATTTTTTCTCAATGAAAAGGGCTCCGCACTAATTATATAGGAAATGTTGTAGCTAATATAGCTACAACATATTACAAAATTAGCCGATTTTACAATTTCCTATATAATTAGTGCGGAGCCCTTTTCATTGAGTAAAAATAAATGCATATATATATTGCGATTTTTTGTTCGATAATGGGCTCGGATAAATGTAATGGGCTCGAAGTGTGTTAAATAATTAATGAACAGTTTTTGAGCTACAGCCAGTCAAATATGAAAAATTCGGGCTCTGCGAGTATTATATTCCTATTCTCCTAACAACATGGATGTGGTAGAAGACTGGTCCCACGTGTATGCGTGACGTCCATGTCGTTCTGGGACTTCTGGGTTATCTGGATTGTCCTGGGTTATGCCAACCCAGATAGCAAGGAGAATTGAAAAGGAATTCTTTTTAAATTCTCGATTTTTGAAATGTATTCTCTTTCCGTATCATTTCTGTTCTAAAACAACTCTTAAAAGTTCAGAAGAAATTCTTTTCTATGTCACCAATTTTGAGTTCTTCTTCAGATACGAAAAAAATTACTTTTCTACTTCATAAAAATTCGTAATAAATTTGAAATTATGCTTAGACAGTATTTCTAGAGCTCTATCTAAGCACTATTTCGAATGCATTGCGAGTTTTCAGAGTAGAAAAATAATTCCTTTATATAATTTCAGTGTTTATAATTCTAATATTCTGTCTGTAACATCGGATAAGAAAGAATTCTTCATAATATGTCCAAAAACAGTTTCTACATCAGAAAGAACATAAAATATACTAATCCATTTTATGTTCTTTCTGATGCAGAAACTGTTTTCGGATAGATTATGAAGGATTCTTTCTTATCCAATGTTACAGACAGAATATTAGGATTATAAACACTGAAATTAGGAATATAAATATAGGAAATATAAAATACAAGTGTCCACACATGACACAGGTATATCGATTAATGATTATATTACTAAATTGGTATACAGATTTGAAATATTATAAGTATCATTAATTGTTATAACAAACAATTCGTTTAATATGAGCGACATATTTATCGTACATACAGTAGACTGACCTGGGCCACGTTACGTCCGACTTGTGCCACAAGATGAACCGCCAAAAGAAGCTGCAGGACGACTTGCTCGAGACACCAATGAAGAGGTGTCTCTCCACCTTCGACATCACGTGGCTCGGTGAATATATCTTTGCGACTCGAATAAATCAACTTTGTGATGGAATTATTATATATATATATATATATATTTTTTTTATATATATAATGCGTTTTGTAACTGGCTTTGTGCGTGCGAGCGATATGCAACTTGCCATTACATCACGCGCGATTATCGCGATTTGATGATAAGCGTAATGGTCCGGAATAATAGTCTTGAGTGAAAGATATGTGGCGATAGACAACATTAATAATGCACGGACTATTAATGTACATAATAATAAAGCTGTGTGTAGGAAGAACTACATTTCGAGATTACATATAACTTACTGAACACTTGATAATATTAATTACTACAGTCCTGTACCTATAATTATATATTACTTCCAGGCGTGGGTCGTATGGTCGGCGCTGGATTTTACGTGCTAATGGGTATGGTCGCGCACGACGTAGGTGGACCTGGGGTGATGTTCAGCTTCCTCGTGGCTGGTTTCGCTTCCA